AGCAGCAGCAGCAGCAGCAGCAGCAGCAGCAGCAGCAGCAGCAGCAGCAGCAGCAGCAGCAGCAGCAGCAGCAGCAGCAGCACTGACGTCTCCGCAGCAAGTTCGATGGCCTGGTTGAAGCCGTTGTCGCCTCCGTAAGAAATGTCCACTATTTTAATTATTTTACTTTGAAGTCTTTGGTCAAACATGTCGCTCATTGCCAAGTCCGTTTTGAAGTCCGCAGAACCCGCAAGCACCAGCCCCGCCACGTTCACCTGCGCAAACCCTAAATTAGGGTTTAGGGTTTGGCCTTCTGCGCTGCTGCTTCCCGCAGCAGCAGCAGCAGCTGTTCCGGCTGCAGCAGCTCACTTTGCTGCTGCTCAGCATTAATACCGTGAAGCAACGCTGGGAGTCCTGGGGATTACACTGTAAGTGCAAATGGGCTGCTGCTGCTGCTGCTGCTGCTGCTGCTGCTGCTGCTGCTGCTGCTGCTGCTGCTGCTGCTGCTGCTGCTGCTGCTGCTGCACTTGAAGTTGGGGGGTTTGAGTGCTTTTCTTTCGGGGAATTGGACGAAGCATTGAGGGAAACTGATGGATGAAATGAATTAAATGAAAAAAGGAATTAAATGAATTAAAATTAATAAAATTAATTCATGAAAAAAGAATTAAATGAATTAAAATAAATAAATTAATTCTTTTCAATTTGCTGCTGCTTGCCTTGTCCTGCGTGATGAACATCTGCACTGCAGTTTCCGCCACCTTGCGGACGTAGTTGTGTCTTTTCTCCATTCTCAGACGCGCAAAACTGAAAAAATAAATTAAAATAAATTAAAATAATTAAATTAAATTAAATTAAATTAAATAAATTAAATTAATTAAATTAAATTCAATCAAATGCAATTAAACTGCACCAAACTGCATGCAAAACGCATGCACGCAGCAGCAGCAGCAGCAGCAGCAGCAGCAGCAGCAGAACCAGACCACTTGCAGCGCCCGCACGACCACCAGCATCACCCCCGCAGCAGCAGCAGCAGCAGCAGCAGCAGCAGCAGCAGCAGCAGAACCAGACCACGTGCGGCGCCCCCGCGACCACCAGCAGCACCCCCGCATCACCCCCGCAGCAGCAGCAGCAGCAGCAGCAGCAGCAGCAGCAGCAGCAGGACGCACCGCAGCGCGGACTGGCCGCCCCTGCCGTGCTTCTTGGGAAGGTCAACAGCAAAGCGGTGCAGCACTTCTCTGCTGTTGCCCTGCACGCTGCCGAACAAAGCCCCGTTGCCGTCCACCACGATGAAGCCAAACTTCGCGTCCGACTCCAGCAGCTCCGCCAACGCCTGCAGCAGCAGCAGCAGCAGCAGCAGCAGCAGCAGCAGCAGCAGCGGCAGCAGCAGCGGCA